CAAGTATTAGAGTTGATATTGTTTGTTAACATTAAGTATGATATTCAAGTATTAGACTTGATATTGTTTAACATTCAGGTTTTTGTAAAAAATTCCTTCAAAAGTATAATTTTTTTTTGTATACTTGTACTGTGTTACTGTCAAACATCCTTCAGTTTTACATTTCATCATATACATCGTGACATTTCTAACAATTCAGTATTTTCTTTGTAGACTATTGTGTCTGATTGTTCTTTCGTGGCCTCACTGGCTATTAGTGCCTTGTATGAAAAGCGGTTTAAAAGACGAATAATAACAAGGTATCTGTATATTTTGCCATTTTTTTGAATTATCTTTGCAAAACTTAGGCCATTAAGCACCAAAGAATAGTACCTTGACTAAAATATTATTTTTAAAGAATTTACTCTTTATGATATTGTTCATTTGAAATAAATCCTTTCATACAAATTATTAGTTTACAAAACTCGGTGTTTTACAGATATAAAATAATGGTATACCTACTGTAGACTTATCTCGAGTTATTTGACACGAGAAGAGAACATAACTACATTTTTATTGCCGAGAATCAAACAAGCTGACTAGTTGAACAACAGAAGAAGTTTTGAGTACAGTGAAATTATTCTATTAAAAAAACAGATTATGAATAAGTTTAATTAACCTTCAGTCCACAACTTGTATTAAGTAATATCAGTAGTCTTAAAAAAATCGATGGTACTTAATATTTGCCTAGTTACATTAGAATGTAAAGCTGTAAAACTTGCCTAGTTACACTACAAAGTAAAGCTGTAAAACTTGCCTAGTTACACTACAAAGTAAAGCTGCAAAACTTGCCTAGTTACACTAGAATGTAAAGCTGTAAAACTTGCCTAGTTACACTAGAATGTAAAGCTGTAAAACTTGCCTAGTTACACTACAAAGTAAAGCTGTAAAACTTGCCTAGTTACACTACAAAGTAAAGCTGTAAAACTTGCCTAATTACACTACAAAGTAAAGCTGTAAAACTTGCCTAGTTACACTACAAAGTAAAGCTGTAAAACTTGCCTAGTTACACTACAAAGTAAAGCTGTAAAACTTTCCTAGTTACACTACAAAGTAAAGCTGTAAAACTTGTCTAGTTACACTACAATGTAAAGCTATAAAACTTGCCTAGTTACACTACAATGTAAAGCTGTAAAACTTGCCTAGTTACACTACAATGTAAAGCTGTAACACTTGCCTAGTTACACTACAATGCAAAGCTATAAAACTTGCCTAGTTACACTAGAATGTAAAGATGTAAAACTTGCCTAGTTACACTACAATGTAAAGCTGTAAAACTTGCCTAGTTACACTACAAAGTAAAGCTGTAAAACTTGCCTAGTTACACTACAAAGTAAAGCTGTAAAACTTTCCTAGTTACACTACAAAGTAAAGCTGTAAAACTTGCCTAGTTACACTACAAAGTAAAGATGTAAAACTTGCCTAGTTACATTACAATGTAAAGCTGTAAAACTTTCCTAGTTACACTAGAATGTAAAGCTGTAAAACTTGCCTAGTTACACTACAAAGTAAAGCTGTAAAACTTGCCTAATTACACTACAATGTAAAGCTATAAAACTTGCCTAATTACACTACAAAGTAAAGCTGTAAAACTTGCCTAGTTACACTACAAAGTAAAGCTGTAAAACTTGCCTAGTTACACTACAATGTAAAGATGTAAAACTTGCCTAGTTACACTAGAATGTAAAGCTGTAAAACTTGCCTAGTTACACGACAATGTAAAGCTGTAAAATTTCCTATATCATTTTGAAACACCTTGAGGCTAAGTAGGGCCTTTGTCTTGTAAGTTAGCAATGGTTTTAATTATTTTTATATCTTCAAAATGTAATAAATTAGCTTTATGAGTTTTCCACCATGTTTGTTTATTTTACTGAAGTACTTATTTTGGCAGTTAATTTTCTGTTTACAAAAACTCACAAAATTTATAACTCTAGGTCATTGTGAACACAAGTATTGTATTTTATCCTCAGGTAATCATTGTAAGATCTGTTTTGAACACATGTAAATGTATTAGTAAAAGGAAGGCATAGGTAAGTTTTCTTAAACACCAAAATGACATAAATACTAACTATTACTTTGTTGTTTCGTAACATTTCTTTCAACAAAATGGTCAAGCAAATGACATCACTAGGCCTACTGTAATATATCTAAGAACTGGCTTTCAGGTCAACGGTTATGTGGGCCACGTGTTACAGCGTAGTAAACAGCTATGTTATGTATTGGTTTTATTGTATTATAAATCATAAATTGACCAAAAAAAAATTAATTTATATTTTCAACAGGCCTATAATTATCACGCAATGTGTTTGAAGTGTCTGTGTTTTAGATATGGTGACATTTTTTCTATTGCAAGGTCAGATGTGGCATTATACCTGGAAATGAATTTTGAAAGGTTAATACTATTTATTTTATTATACTTACAAGAATGGCAAAGTGTAGCTTCATGATTATTTTACACTTCATTAGCATTTTAATGTTTCACATGTTTACTAGTTGCTAACAAATATAAACCTTTCCAGCATCATATACCCACAGAACAGACAAGGAGAACCAGTTTATAATCCGTGCGGGAAGTATATTGTTAAACTCCACATCAATGGTGTAAGAAGAAAAGTGAGTGTTTTAAAATGTTAAGTATGAAGGAATTTTGTTCAAAAGAGCTTTTCATCTTTCCTACTTATAAAAAAAATACAAGTTAAAATTTTAAGTTTGTTTGTTCTTCCTTCACGAATAGCAGTAGCTGCACTAGTCTAATACTTAAAAAAAAGCTACTGGTACTGCACTAAACCTTGTTATAAAGCTACTGGTACTGCACTAAACATTGTTATAAAGCTACTGGTACTGCACTAAACCTTGTTATAAAGCTACTGGTACTGCACTAAACCTTGTTATAAAGCTACTGGTACTGCACTAAACCTTGTCATAAAGCTACTGGTACTGTACTAAACCTTGTTACAAAGCTGCTGGTACTGCACTTAGCCTTGTCATAAAGCTGCTGGTACTGCACTAAACCTTATTATAAAGTTACTGGTATTGCACTAAACCTTGTTATAAAGTTACTGGTATTGTACTTAGCCTTGTCATAAAGCTGCTGGTACTGCACTAATACTTGTTATAAACCTGCAGGTAATGCACTAAACCTTGTTATAAATATGCAGGTACTGCACTAAACCTTGTTATAAACCTGCTGGTACTGCACTAAACCTTATTTACTTGTACTTGTGACTTAGCTGTGATAGGATTAACTGTAGAAGCGTGTTTATCAAACCTTACTCTTTCCCACTTCATATTGTTTTACATGGTGTTTATGATTTCATGTATTTGGGATGAGGGTATTATAATTGGGTCATTGTGTGTGTGTGTCTGTCCGTGTTTTTGCGCGTGTATCTTGAAAATTAATATACCGATGTACACGAAAATTATACACAAGATGGGACAATCCAAATCTGGATCACTTTGAAGCATTTTTTATAATGCGGGATTGGGCATTTTTGTGGTTTTTGGTTAATAACTTTGTAAAGTGGGATCAGATTTGTACCAAATTTCATGGGCACATTAAGGTTCAGAATCCTCATCACACTACAAAAAATTATCTGGATCATTGATCATTCTGGAGCTGAGAAGGACTTTCTGATGTGAAATTTTACGTTATCCAATATAAACGCATGCAGTCCCAAAAAGAAGTGGCAGGGCAAGGTTATGCAATCTCCCTGATTTCTGTTGTTTGTATTAGAGAGCAATTCATTTTTATTATCATGTTTTATTTCCATCTTTTTACTTGTGTTACTTGAGCATGTTCAGATGTTCTACTAAGGTTTATTTTGTTGTTTTTTTATCATTATTTATCTTCATCTTTTTTTAGGTAACATAATCTATATATTTTTGGATGTTTGATCATGGATTATCTTCAAATGTTGTCGTCTTAAGTCATATAACTAGCTGAAGATAATGCTTTGATTGTATTTCAGGTGATCATTGATGATAAACTTCCACTGGGAAGGAATGGAGAACTACTGTGTTCGTACTCAAATAATCGCAATGAATTTTGGGTTTCTCTACTAGAAAAGTCCTACCTGAAAGTAATGGGAGGATACGATTTTCCGGGATCCAATTCTGTAAGCTAAAGTCAAATGTCAACATGGCTAGTATAAGACGTCTTGATTTCTTGTAATTACTTTTCTTTACAAGCTTGCTGTAAACTCTCATCTTCCAGTGTTTTGACAATAATTCATTTTAAGTCAACTAAATCAAACAATATGAAAGACCTATAAATTTAAATGTTTACAAAAGAATAATAGAAATATGTTTCGTTGTTTTATACAATTCTGTGTTTATGATTGCATTTCCTTACATGTTCTTACTGTTTAGCTAATGATACTGCCTTAGATAACCATACTTGGAGGACTTCCAGTTCTAATTAGACTTCCTGTTTCCCTAACGATTCTTTTTAGATGTTCTAATTAGACT